CATTCCCTTGCCTGGCAACTTCCTGCTAACATAACAAAACTTTCTGATGGCAAAAACATCAATTTACTTCAGATATCTTTCAAAACAGCATATTCTGTGCCGAATAGCTCCTGTTTGAAAGTGAAAATGAAAGCCAAGACCTTTAAGTGTTTTAGTATCTTAACTACATATTTATAGGCTGTATTAACAAAAAAAGATGATATTTTTAGGGTAATGGTGTCATTAAATATGATGCCAGACATTCAAAGCTTAATTTTAATATCTCAATAATAGCTTTGAATGTAAATATGTTGTGACAGTATGGCGTTTATATGAAAACGGTCAGGATGAGCAGTATGGTAATTCTAATAGTTACAGAATTCTAGTTCCACTGTTAATATATCCTACTCTCATGTCTGTGCTAACGCAGAATGAAGCGAGTGCACTGATGCCCATTCTGACCAATCACAGATGTTTCTGCTGAGCTCCTGAACACACAGGCATTCTGCTCATGCTGATCTGCTCTCTCATTGGCTGCAGCTCGTCACTACATCTGACCACACGTGGGGTTGAGTCGGCCGACTGCTCTGGAATATTTAGCATGCTGAATGTTGGATTTCCGTCTGCGAGGTGTCGGCGACGCGTCAGCGAGCCTCGTTGATGCGTTGTTCAGTAGTTCACACATAAAGAGCGGCGAGCGCCGAGCACCCGCAGATTTCTTCCCGATCACAGCCCGATCTGTCGGCGAGCTCGTTAACTTCCAAATCGGGCTCAAATCAGGCTTAAAATCCTCTAGTGTGAACTAGGCTTAAGTGTTTAAGGCCGTTTCGGTCAGTAAACATTCGTCATCTTCTCATTAGTGACCTGCATCTAAACCAGGGGTGCCCAAACTTTTTCCTATAAAGGGCCAAAAACCAAACTTGATTGAGGGCCTAATCGTAATCCATTAAATTTACTTCCTCTTTTTTTTGATAAATGAAAAAATCCTAGAAAATGTTGCTTTAAATCATATTTAATATCTAATGCAGTATAAATCTTGACATTTCATAATGAAATATTTACTGTTAAAACATAATTTCGTTTATAACGCACTGGAGTTCACCGCTGCATACACTAGTCGAGTCGCACCTTTACCTTGATCTGCTCATAGATGTCAGATGTACCATACATCAAGTGACAGTATTTACATGTTAAAAGTCTGATGTGTTTACAACATTTATTCAAATCATTTCATTCCACTTGTCTTTGTTGTAGCTCAGCAATAAAACTAAGAAACAAAAGATTACGTTCAACTCAAAATTAATTTGCCCCAACCGTTCTCCTCATCTTTTTAAATGGGAGAGTGGGCCAAATCAAAGGGTGTGTGGGCCAACTTTGACCCGCTGGCCTTACTTTGGGCATCTCTGATCTCAACAGTTCAATACGTGTAGAGATTTTGGATATTTTTCTTGGACACTTTTAATGCTTCCAAAAAGTTTGCTGCAGTTATAAACCGGCCATCTGTTGAGGTGGTGCATTATGATGTGATTTACCTTCTGTGTGTGATTTCACTAGTATAACACGACTGAATCACAGCACAGTCGCAGTAGTGACAGCAGATTGAAGGACAGCAGTGGTGTAAAAGTAGCAGTACTGCTCTAAACATGCTCACAGGAAGAGTACAACCACTGACATTCACAAAGCACGAGCGGTTTAAAATCGTACAGATATTGAGCACATGTCCAGTCTAGTTGTGAAGTGAAAGGGAAACTGATGCTGTGTGTGTGTGTGTGTGTGTGTCTGTAGTGTGTATGTCTAATAATGCAGAGCGAGGAGCGCAGGAAGAAGAAAGCCAGTGTAAGCCCCAGAGGTGTGTCGGAGGAGTACAGCCTGCGAGTGAGTACCGCGACCTCTGACCTTCAGTGACCCCTAGCACAGTGACCCACCCCGTGCTTCTGCTTCTCCTCAGGAGCGACCCAAAGACGAAAACCCAACCAAGATGAAGAATAAAGTGTCCACTTCACAAGGTGGAGGAAACACACACACACACACACACACACACACACACACACACACACACACACACACACACACACACTTCTGCTGCAGCTGTCAGGAGTGACTGAAGACAGTTACTAACTCTGTGTTGTGTGTGTGTGTGTGTGTGTGTGTGTTTGTTTTGGGTGTGCGCATTTGTGTGTGCATGTTTCTGTCTTTGTGTTTGTGTGTGTTTTTGTTGTATTTGTGTTGTGTGTGTGTCCTTTCTCTCCCTCTGTGTGTGTATCTCTTTCTTCCTGTCTTTGTGTGTTTTGGGTGTGCTCATTTGTGTGTGCGTGTTTTTCTCTTTGTGTGTGTTTCTGTGTTTTCGGTGTGTGTGTGTGTGTGTGTGTGTGTGTGTGTGTGTGTGTGTGTGTGTGTGTGTGCCAACAGTGAGCGGTAAAAAGAAGCTGTTTTCCTGGGATCAGTATCTGGAGGAGAAGCAAGCTGAAGCCGCACCACTGACACTCTTCACTGAGGTGTGTGTGTTTGTGTGTGTGTGTGTGTGTGACATTAACAAGACTGTACGAATGAACTGGTTTCCATCATTGAGCAGTAATGCACATGTTCTGAGTGCTGTCATTAGAGATTTTCCAAACACTCCTGATGTTGTTGTTGTGGATGAAGTACTGAAAAACATTCTGATTATGGAAGTAGGCTGTTGTTTTGACTCATACATGGATCTGTGCTATTCAGAAAAAATGCTGAAATATCAACCATTAGTGAATGCTCTAAAAGTGTGTGGCTACAACACAAAGTTGGTGATTTTAATTTACGGTAGCCTAGGGCACGTTCATAAACTGTGTGTGAGGGGACTACACACTGCCGGACTCAGTAAAAAAGACTCTAAACAAACTGCAAAGTATTGTTCTGTATCTGCAATAATAGGCAGTCTTCATGTGTGGAGAAGACGATGCCATCTCTATCCTTAATCCATTTACTTAATACTGCACGCAGAATGCATTGAGTGTCTAATATCGCCACGCAAAAGATCATCAATGGTTGCATGCTGCTTGTACTGTGAAACATTATGGGCTCCTTACGATTATTTGGATGCTGTGTTGTTCTAATAGTATTAGTCATTCCAAATAAAATGAATCAAATGTGAGTAAGTCTTTTAGCCCGTTTCCACTGAGTGGTGCGATATTGTGTGGTTCGGTACGCTTTTATGGCCATTTGCATTGTCAAAAGGTAACTAAAAGCGCACCGTACCATAACACTTTTTGGGTAGGTTTTCAGAAGGGTACCAAAAGGCGGAGCGAGACGTGCAGCTGAACGCTATTGATCTACAGAGAAGAGTCATTAGTACATACACAAGCAGGAGGATGAAAACAAAGGAAGCCTCATTTTTGAACACACAGTCGAGACATTACATCGTGATAATATATACGAATAATAACGAGCCATGGTCGACCCGAGCGCAAACAAACCTCGTCGTTGTCTTGATGAACAGCCACAAAGCCAAGAAGAAGAGCAGAATCTGCCGTGTGTCCTGTAGATGTTCACTAGGCCGTCTAAAAGCGTGCGCGGTTTCGCTTCCTTGCATGCGCTCGTATTGGCGTCTATATCTGAAGTAACGAACTTCTTGAGCTCATATTGATAACGTGCACGTAATTATTGAAGTGCTTCTGACTTCTGATCCTTTCATAAACGGTCAAACGAGAAACAAAGAAGCCCACAAAAACAAAGGAGCAAATGATTCCTTCAGCAACCTAAACGATGAACACACGGCCATGTCAAACTATTCTCATCAGCTTCTGGACTGGGAATGATAGAGTTGCTGCCTAATGGAGGCTACATGTGCTGCTGAAGAACACACACACAGATGAGGAGTTTGCTGTGACCGTGGGTGCATCATCTATTTTACATGGATATAAAAATAAACTGAAACTAGAGAGAGTGTTGTGTGTTCTGTAATACGCTGGAATAAATGTAAGCGTGCACTGGTTTTCTTATTATACACCATGTATACGTAGACATTACATCAAACATTAGGTCATGGAAAGTGACTCAAAAGTCCTGGAAAGTTTTTGAAGTAAAAATGTGCATGAACTCTGGTAATGTGTGTGTCTGTGTGTGTGTGTGTGTGTGTGTGTGTGTGTGTGTGTGTGTGTTTGTTGTTGTTGTTGTTGTTTGTGCATTGTGCTGACGCTGATGGTTGTCTTCTGCAGTTTCAGGGATTTCCCGAAACCAGGAATGGCTTTAAGGTGGGCATGAGGCTGGAGGGC